GAGATTATAGCAATCACACATCCGTTTCCTCTTTAAATTTACTGAATTACTTACCTCTCATAAATACCTTTTAATGTAAGGTATTTCTATGTTATATAAGGTAAGGTATTTCTATGTAAGTAAGTTCTTTACTCCTTAATAAAATCGAGTGTGATACTAGAAAAAAATACTTTGTGAAATGATTTTATGAAGTTATGCTGTATTGACTGTATTGACATAAGCTTTTTTCAAAATAACAGTATGAGATAAAACTGATATCAACATTTATGTTGACTCTACTAGGCAGCAAATGAAAATAACAAAAACAAATAATATATTTTGTAATTATATTTTAGACAGAGTTCAAACTGGTGTTTGTAATGTATGTAATCATAGCGGTTGAATTTAGTATTCTATCAATGGTCTAGTAGTATCATCATTAACAGCTTATGGTCAGACAGACACCTTTGCAATTCTTCATAAAATCACGACGTAGAAATGATATAAGTTTTTGAAATATTGCTAGGGAACAGTATTTACATAATATTTTGTAAAAATGTCAGGCTTTATTATATATGAAACCCTATGAAGTAGTATCGGAAGATTGTTTAATCACTGCCTTTTATTAAACCTCAATCAATTACTGTTAACCAACAAACTTTACAATCAATAAGTCATGGTTTTACGAGAAAATACAGAAGACATAATGACAGCCTACAAATTTATCTTTGACTAGATCTGGTTGTGTATCCTATCACATCGCAATACAAAACTGATGATGAATCAATTCTTAAAAGAATCTACCATATAACGATAGTTCTTGGATTAGTTTTCTGATGCGTTTCAAGCATGCACTACTAATCAGTTAGTATTGGTTTGTTTTTAATCAAAAGTGATTTATTGTGGTCACCTATATTAATGGGAATTAATCATATCAAATTAATTTCGGTTATCTTATGAGGACCGTTATTCTAGTCGAAAGTCTCAGAATTTGTATAGGAGTTACCTCCCTTGGACCTTTTCGTCTACTTTGCTCCTTGAGAAATCTTCAGCTTTGGAGATAGGAACTAGTAGCCATACATTTAAAGCCCAGGATTAGATTGTTCATAATTTACAGTTTACTTTTCCCTAAATTAAACAACACTCATACAATTATTGTTAAAGACAAAAGCAAAAATTATTCCTCCCCGGCGGGGAATTGAACCCCGGTCTCCCGCGTGACAGGCGGGGATACTTACCACTATACTACCGAGGATTATAGCTGTTGACAGGATAAGACGTCTACGACGTACAACATGTTGTATAATAATTAACATTAATAAAATTATAAAGATTCTTTGTTGCTCGTTCTGCATGATTATTTCACGCATTTAAATTGCTTTTGTGAAACACAAAATACAGAAGGGCACCATTCGTCTTATGTGATTATTTTACATAACGTAAGACGTTTGTTGACCAATTTAGGTAAACACGTATGTAGATTACTTTCCATATGAATATATAATTAAAGAAGTATCTAGTTCATTCACACAAGCCTTTTAGTGTTAGGTTACATGTATCACCATTAAGAAAAGGTTTAAGAATGATGCCGATATCATCATTACTGATATAATACAATGCACTGGAGGTAACAATTGGCACACAATGTCCTGCGGGCGATAGATGTTTAAATGGTTATTTCTATGAGGATTGACATACTTGGATACATTTTGTATGAAAAATATGCATTAGATAATCGCTACAGATACGAATAAGGTGGAAAGAAATGTAATACATTATATATATGAATTGACAGACATTTCCCAATATTTTTATGTACATTGTCTGTAAAAGTTGTCGAACTGTAATATGCTGTTGACTCTGATCCTTCATATCAATGTGCTGGTAACATACGGTCATCCATATTTTGATAATATTAGGTATATGAAGAAAGGGTGGCAGGCTGCAAACTGTGGGTGGGCGTTTAAATGTTTGGCTTCTTTTGAATGATAGATATTTTAGAATTATTTGTTATCAACACAAACTATATTCTACCTACATAAGCAAGATCCCGTTTGCCCCAAATAAACATGCTATTACATATAGCAGGTAAACCATGATATAGACACTATTTGTCAAGAGGGCGGTGCTAGTTGTAGACTACAATATGGACAGACAATCAACATTTTGAAGACGGCAGATCCCTAGGAATTGGAAAATTTTTCAACGTACAAGCATCCCGACCCCAGTTCGTACAGCCCATATTGACGAATTGAAGCCTCATTCAGAAGTTCCTTATAGGTAATACATCATTGCATTAGATTTATGTATCTACCCAGATACCAAAACATTGTCATCTGGTCCAAATGTTGCCAGGTATAAGAAAATGAATGGTATTGAATGTAGGGCTATGACATGTGAATATTCAAATCACTTGGGAATTGACATTTCACTTGCGATGGTCTCGTGTTTTTTTGATGAGACATCATTAAGATACTTTTGTGAAATTTCTTCTGGATATAAAAAGTTTTTACGAAATATCAAGATACTTTTTTTAACACCTAGATTTGCTATTGTCTATTCCAGAAATGCACGAAGAACATTGAATGAAATTTGTCTAACGACTCATTTTCCACCAGAGGACATTAAAACACACAAAGTGGCAATCTATTCAGTACTCAGTTTTATAGGAATGATGAATTTGATGATGCAGTGTATAGACATCTCTATGAAGGGGATGGCAAGGTTTACATAATTGACTATTTGCAGGATTACTTGGTTGCCTGACAGTTACCCCATTGTGTGTTTGTAAATATTGGTAGCTACAATTATGATGTGGTGATATCCGATGGGATGATGTTTTTGTCGTGGTATCTTCCTCACAAAGTTACAAGATTCGGAGATTTCATCAGCAACAGTTTCATTGAGTTTGTCATCCGTAATACAATCTTTACTATGACCGCATCGACTGTTACAGTCACCAATGATCAGCACATGACCAGAGTCGTCAAGTTTCTCTACCGCCCTCTCAAGATCAGAAAACAAATCACAATCTTACGAATTTTAAAAGGCACTTTGATCTGGTGGGAAATAGACCTAGGTAAGTATCAATTACGTCCCTGCATACCTGGCCATCACGTTTTAGCCACACAATACTGTCATGCGATTCCTCTATAACACTTTTGTATTTTGATAACCATTCCGGTATTAAACCACACAGCCCCCTCCTCTGCAATACTTTCGTACAAGTTTAATCATACCATTCTACTAACCAGTTTATATTTTTTGTTTTTTAATCAAAAGTGATTTATTTTGGGGACTTACTAAAACAACACTCATACAAAAGCACAAAAATAATCCTCCCCGGCGGGATACTTACCACTATACTACCGAGGATTGATGATAACATATCTGTATTTGTTTTATCGTAAGAAACACTACATGCATGATGTGTCTTATTTTTATTTGTCAAATCAAACAATTGTTAATTAATATCAAGTACATGTTTACTTAATACATCTAAACTAAAGAAAATTTAAAATAAAAAGTATAATATGAACTTAACTTATCAATTTCACATAACTATATGAGTGTCAGAATAAATTATGGCAATACTAATTAATATGGAGATTACATACACGTAGGTGTATCACAGAATATTACACGCGATCATAACATACTCCACTAGGTGATATAGTTTTTACCTATTAGCTGTTATACCTTGATGCTGGTTGTGTGGTTTATTGATCACTAAAGTACACTAAAACCACTGCTGTAACCGGTGTCTTGATCTTATCGTAACCAAGCTAAACATCTTACTATATAAAATTATCCACGCTAGTCGCTGATGTACCACAATGATATTGTTATTTAGTCATTATCGTTATAAAGTGTTGAAGAAGAAGGCAGGACAAGATGATACCATCTTTAACATTGTGTGATATGTTTTAGTATCATTGTCACAGTACAAATTAGTATATTTTGCCTGAAAGTTGATTTCAAGATCCGCATGGATCTAATAACAAGACTATATCTTTGGAAGAGCGAATCCTTTCTAAAACTATCAAGTTGCAATACCCTCTACATTGTTATAAGATGTTTATAAACGATATCGGCACGATATCAGATTTTTGTAAAAATTCAAAAGATAATTAGCTGGATATAAGAAATTGGTTAGATACATTTCAGTTGTACAAATGATGAATATCTACAAGGCTGTTGTTTTCTTTAGACTATGCTGTACACCATCTATATCATCAAGGTATTGACCAGAACATTGATTTGAGCAAGAGAAAATTTCAAAGACATGTTTTTCGCATTTCATTTACCTAAATGAAACTTAAACAAAAAGAAAGCGATGGTACTAATGCTTTCAAATCACAGGAACCATCGACAGGAATCCATATTTTACATTTATATATTATAGCTAGAGTATTTCGTGTGAATTTAACATTGGTACGGAAGAGTTATCGCGCCTTGAATATAAGAAACGTTGACTAATTAAGATTCATGTTTCCTTTCAAAGACGAATATGGTTGTTTTAGTTTCTATAAAACTCCTTCTTGACTGACCTTGTAACAAAAGAAACGTAAATACCGACTTATTTGTCAATCAAATCAATAACAGATGGAACTGTTTATTATGTGTGTTTTAAAAAAAATAATAATGACAAACAACGAAGATACATTTTATAAAAATAAATATCACTATACAAAAATGTATAAACATCCATGGTATAAACTTTAGTGTGTAGATAATACATAACAGTGTGTACCTAAAGCGCACAGGTTACTACAACTCCAGTGACCATCTATATCACAGGTACAGGCAACAATACAACACCCGTAATCATCGTTATACCTATATATCATCATATCTTTAATAATTATATACGATAGTATACACATGTAAAATAATATACAGGTAACCAATAACAAAAATGAATGTAGCATTATATACAATAATTTATATCTGTAAAATAATATACATTTTAGTCATTTACAGTAATATACATGAGTTCGATACTATACAATGATATACATTTGTACATTAATATACATCTATATAGTTGATCATACTGTCGTAATTACTTATGAGACCTATACAACAATACAGATATATAACATTACATACAACAGTATCTGCTGTACAATGGTAGTTATATAGTCATAACAGTAGTGTATACAGGTTTCACGTTAGGCAATTTCAGCCACATATTCTTTTCTTTTAAGCATCTAGATTTTATAAAATGTATTCACCAATGATCATATTTCTGTGATAAAATATCCACCTTGCATTTTCCTACAAACTGATGTGTTTTTGTTTGTAAATACATCACAATCAATGAGAGCATGTTAAACATCTTAAACATTCACCATGGTTGGCACATCTAGTCTGATATCGATCTTGTCTTTCCCCCAGTGATTTAACTGTGAGCCTAGCACATGTATTGTGAAGCCCTAACCTTGTTGTATAGTAAACCTGACCATTAGTGTAATGTAATTTATACAAGGCAGAGAAACAAAACCAATTAAAAGTGAGATTTTCAGTTACAAAGACAGCATTCACTGTACAATGTTATGACGTAAATATTGTCAACCTTTATATACACACACACACCAAAATGGATTAAACTGATCAAAGAGCCAACCAGTTTGAAAATATATAAAAATGGCAAATAATTGATGAAACAATATCCACCGAACTCATGCTGGCCCATCAGCACGAGGTCTCGGGAGGAGCGGAGGGATTCATACGAGATGGAAGCGTTTCTAATGGTGTCCAAGAGGACGGAATGGTTGAGTTGTCATGGGAACCAGGGTCAAGTCGGGTCGTCTGTATTAGTCTCCTGTAGCCTGCTCTCTGGGGTGACGAGTTTGGCCGCATACTTTACATAATAAGAACAAAGGAAGATGATCAACACATGCCACTAGATAAGTGTACATGAAACTTGGTTTAGTTATGTTTTTGAAATATAAAGCACAAGTCGTTTGGCGACAGAAAACCATTATCTAACGTTGCTGTTAATAACTTATATTATTGGCATTTCTCTGCATCCTCCAATCGCAATGCAAGTACACATTTGTTCTCTGTAACTACTAAACGTCGTACATTAACAGAGTAGTCATTTGACAGCGACTCCATTATTTGATCAGACAGTAACATCAATGTCGAATCTAGCTGACAGAAGTGTATGAACTTGACAATGCGAAGACAACATATAAGGAGAGACAAACCAAAACAGAGGCAAACAAATATTAACATACCTACAGTATCATCCCTGACGAGTGGTTGGTGTGATATTATATCAGGTGGCAGTTAATAAATATTTTGTTATTTATTACCTTTTTACCAGTAAAATATCAGAAAATATGAGTGTGATAAAAAGCTAAATATACACCGTACTGAAGAGATGCGAACTGTTCTATCTTCACCATGTGATGTGTTAATTATAAGGGCCAGTGTCAATCAAAATGTTATTTCTATTTACTTCATTCAACGCAGTAGATTAACTATTCGGCTGAGGAAGAAGCGATGGTAGAATATGTGGTTGATTTTGAACATCCTTGGTACATACATTATCATATCTTAACTATATAATTGATATTATTTGAATAGGAAGTCTTACTAGATAATAGCAGAAAGAGTGGCGTTGAGTAGTCTATTGAAAATGGCCGGTAGTCTTGTGGTCAAGCGTGAGTTCATTAGAACCTGTTGACAAATATTACACTACTATATCTAATTAACGAGTGATTTTGATGCTACGATAATTTCTTCGTTTTACTTAAAAATGTAATAAATAGAAAATTTAAAGGTTTCCCCGATGAATATCATATCTATTTTACTCGTATAACAGAATATACCGATATTTTCACCCGTACTTCGCACTCGGTAAAATGATCCGTATTCTGCTGTTTCCTACTTAGATAGTTTATACTGCACATGTATGGTACATTCTCTGAAATTTTCACGAGTGCGATACAGGAATGAAATATCAGAAACAATTGACATACGATGCCATTGTCGATATCGCTTCGACGTCCATGCAACGTTTCAAATGGACCAATCAGGTACGTACCTGGAGAAAACTTGGCGACATAAAACTGTTTACAAGATAAACAAACTAAAAATAATCTTTGCTCATGCAAATACAAACCCTGACACATTGAACTCAACAAAAGACCACAATCGTATGCTATATATTACTTACATGTAACCATTGCGCTTACTGCAGTATATCAGAAGAGCCACAAAGATGATGACGATAACAGCGAACCCACAAATCATTACAGTATACCAGGCTTGCCACTGGTTCCTTCCTATAACGGGAAATAGAACAAACATCACACAGCGCAGGGGTGTATCAGATAGCCACCAGACCTAGCATTGCAATTAACAAATGTTGATAACGAATGAATGACTTTTTGTTACTTACTTATTTCAGGGAAACATTGTATATTACAAACCAGCGACGAGCTCTGGACACGACACTTCCAAGACACAACATAACGGTCGATCCAGATTTGGGGATGCTTTTAATGACCATGTACTGAGAAATTTGCTAATGATAAAGTTGTAAGAATTTTCGAAATAATATGGATTTTACTAAGGATCTAGTTACTGGTAAACCAGTACCAGAGATGTTGCAGCCTGGTCGATATTCTGGGCTATCATACCACCTTATTGACAATTATAGATAATTCAGTAACACGTCAATGGTAGCTCGTAATTACGATGGCAAGAGCTTCATGTATTCTTGGTGCTATTGGTGTTTTAATAGAATTGGGTTATAGCTCGACATTTCGAAGCAAAGTGCCTAAAGCAGTGGAGATTACGAAGCGGCGACGTGAAAGTTTACCTGATTGACACATGTCACCAGTGTACCCCTCTTTACATGAACATACGGGTACTCCTCCCTCGTTTGTACATGTTCCACCATTCAGACACAGGTGAGGACAAACAGCTGTAAATATTAGTTTACTCATTATACATGTCAAACTGGTCCTTAACATAAAGCTGAAACTTGCTAGTCTTTACAGGTTTTTGTGGAAATAAATGAATGCTTATATAATAAAAACAGTTTATGATTCTAATATTTGTCTAAATAATCGAAAATAACACGAAGAAAAATATGTTACGAATAGAACATGAACCCGCTCCGTCTTCCCGCCACCCAGGACAACACTGCTCCACCTGGTGGTAGCGGGTGGTGTACTTCTGCTGCGGAGTGTAACACGTCTGTATCCGGTAGCGAGTACAGCGGCGCCAATCCAAAGTTCCACAACTCGTCGTGTACCTCTCCTGACAAATGAATGCTTGGTTGAAGGACTGGATGACGCTGTCGGCCCTTTCCCGTGTACATACGTGTCTGTGTGATAAACCAATCAGTGACAATATTCACTTACTTTACATCTGCTAGCGGATTGGGACTCTTTCCAATAGTCAACTATTACTCACATTTCGTTTTGAATTTTCAACCAGAAATATCCTGTTAACAAAAACTTGTTATCACAGAAGTGACAAACATGACTTATTCCACTGTTGATATAACTGTAATTGTGTATATGGGAATACGTTAAGTATACGCTATATATACTGCACGAATCTATGGAAGTTATGACTCATATACATTCTTATTCCATGTGATGTCAAATAAACTGGATCTATAATAGTTAAAGTACGACAATTTTACATTTACAGATCTTAGAAAAAGGATTGCATACCTCTTCAACAGGAATCGTATGAATTAGGTGTAAAGAGAACAGATATTTTCCCAAGCCCATCAAAGATTGCCACCCTCAATGCATGTTGTCGTTAAGTTCGATATCATGAAGTGTTTAAGGTCAGTTGTGGTGTCAACTATAACGTTACATGAAATCATACAAAATGACACTCTATTTACTGAGGCTTATATTAGTCAATCGCATTCCATGTTACAGACAAAATATATCAATTTGAAATCATAGTTAAGTACACCTGCTGAGTTTTAAGCTTTATCCATATGAGAAGGAACCGATTTAACCAACAATGAATGGGTAAACTTACCCTGTCAGCGCTGCCACTAGTTGTATATTCCAAAGCAAAACATGCAGACATGATGTTTTGATAAATAGCTCCATTACTCAAGTTTTGTTCAAGGGTTCAAATATTACACAAATATGTCTCTGGTATGTACACAGACGGCCCATTCTACTATAGGTAGGGTTTATCTTATCATTTTACCCTCCACTTTGGTAGGGACAGGTGCCTGTCCCGTTTTGCTTATAGAGGTAAACAAGTTTGAAGTAATTATCTGAACGTGTGGACACTTCTATTGATCTACAGATAAGTCGCGTGTCGAACGTGAACGTTTTCATATTTATCTGGAATTATGGAAACTGTTATCTGGTACAAGGGAGACAACCGCTAATTTAGCAATATAATGCGATTTATCTCTCTCTCTACAATGTTAATATTTATCTCGTTCACCAGCTGTACTGTATAAGATAATACGTTAACACGTATATCAACATTCCTTGTATAAGAACTTCAACAATATCAGATAGACATCTAACTCATTTTAAGTGTGATATTAGTTTTCTTCATATCTCTGAATTCATTAAAAACTAGAGTTATTCTTCTTTAACCAGCTAGCAGTAAGTGTAACCTCACAGATAATGACCACTTTCTCGACTGTGTCTAGGACAAAACACTACAGATATTCATATAAATAATTCTTAAAATAAAACAAAAATCAAACAACAGACTGTTTAAGATATTTTCAGAGATAAATTATAAGGCATTTAGAAGTATGACCCAGATTTGGTTACATTTATTCAATTCTGTTTAACACATCCTTTTACTTTTCTTGTCCACGACGTTTCATCTGCAGGTGTTACTTCGTGCCCTTTGGGGATTTGTTCTTCCATAAGCAGTGAGGGTTCGGGAGCCCCGGGAACACTGACATTAAAGCACATGTTCAATATCTCCAATCTACATTTGTAGGGCAGTGATGGATTGGGGCAGGGGGTTACAGTTAATTTTCTTGACACAAATCAAGAGCAATATAATTCGTTCATAAATATGTTATGCTGAATGCCACACAAACGACATGTTAATAAATAATGTGCCGAGTCTTCCAAAGGATTAAACACGTACTTCAATAACAAGAGGAATTAGCCTGGAGATGTGCTTTATGTTATGGTGAAACATTAAATTCAACATAGTACGAGCATAAACCAAAACTCGAAAATTACAAACATTATTACGAATTACGAATTTAACAAACATAAACTCGCCCCCCCCCCCCCCCCCCCCCAAACAAACCACCAAGAGGAATTAACGAGAGAATGGTATGTGCTGAACATGGGAGATTATCGAGAGGTTGGTTTATCTGGACAAAAGAGATTATTGAGAGGTTGGTATATCTGGACAAGGGGGATTACTGAGAGGTAGGTATATATGAACAATGGAGATTATCGAGAGGTAGGTATATGTGAACAAGAGGGATTATCGAGAGGTTGGTATATCTGGACAAGGGGGATTATCGAAAGGTAGGTATATCTGGACAAGGGGGATTATCGAAAGGTTGGTATAACTGACCAAGAGGGATTACCGAGAGGTTGGTATATGTGAACGAGAATGATTATCGAGAGGTTGGTATATGTGAATAAGGGAGATTATCGAGAGGTAGGTATGTGTGGACAAGGGAGATTAATCGACATGTAGGTATATGTGAACAAGAATGATTACCGAGAAGTTGGTATATATGAACAAGGGACATTATCGAGAGGTAGGTATATGTGAACAAGAGAAATTATTGAGAGGTATGTGTATGTGAACGAGAATGATTATCGAGAGGTTGGTATATGTGAACACGTGAACTATTGCTACTGATATATATTCAATGAACGATTATACAAAAATAATATACATACATACAATGTGTATGTGGTGATCAGAACTACAAGTGAACGGTAAAGGAAGTATTATTTTTACGATATAAGGTTATATTATCTGCTGTGATCTCTGTCGGGTGAGACGTTAAAGTGACCGCTTGGGTGGTCCTATCATATGTGTACATCGCCTTCTATGACCTTTCGTAACTCATAAACTAACAGACAAACAATTGACAAACCAGTTGTGGTATAGCACTAACACAAAGGTACCAAGTGAGGGTTGTGGTATAACACTAACACAAAGGTACCAAATGAGGGTTGTGGTATAACACTAACACAAAGGTACCAAGTGAGGGTTGTGGTATAGGACTAACACAAAGGTACCAAGTGAGGGTTGTGGTATAGCACTAACACAAATGTACCAAATGAGGGTTGTGGTATAGCACTAACACAAAGGTACCGAGTGAGGGTTGTGTTATAGCACTAACACAAATGTACCGAGTGAGGGTTGTGGTATAGCTATAACACAAAGGTACCAAATGAGGGTTTTGGTATAGCACTAACACAAAGGTACCAAGTGACGGTTTTGGTAAAGCACTAACACAAAGGTACCAAGTGAGGGTTGTGGTATAGCACTAACACAAAGGTACCAGGTGAGGGTTGTGGTAAAGCACTAACACAGATGCACCAAGTGAGGGTTGTGGTAAAGCACTAACACAAAAGGTACCAAGTGAGGGTTTAAGTATAGCACTAACACAAAGTTACCACGTGAGGGTTGTGGTAAAGCGCTAACACAAAGGTACCAAGTGAGGGTTGTGGTATAGCACTAACACAGAGGTACCAAGTGAGGGTTGTGGTATAGCACTAACACAAAGGTATCAAGTGAGGGTTGTGGTATAGCACTAACACAAAGGTACCAGGTGAGGGTTGTGGTATAGCACTAACACAGATGCACCAAGTGAGGGTTGTGGTAAAGCACTAACACAAAAGGTACCAAGTGAGGGTTTAAGTATAGCACTAACACAAAGTTACCACGTGAGGGTTGTGGTAAAGCGCTAACACAAAGGTACCAAGTGAGGGTTGTGGTATAGCACTAACACAGAGGTACCAAGTGAGGGTTGTGGTATAGCACTAACACAAAGGTATCAAGTGAGGGTTGTGGTATAGCACTAACACAAAGGTACCAGGTGAGGGTTGTGGTATAGCACTAACACAGATGCACCAAGTGAGGGTTGTGGTAAAGCACTAACACAAAAGGTACCAAGTGAGGGTTTAAGTATAGCACTAACACAAAGTTACCACGTGAGGGTTGTGGTAAAGCGCTAACACAAAGGTACCAAGTGAGGGTTGTGGTATAGCACTAACACAGAGGTACCAAGTGAGGGTTGTGGTATAGCACTAACACAAAGGTATCAAGTGAGGGTTGTGGTATAGCACTAACACAAAGGTACCAGGTGAGGGTTGTGGTATAGCACTAACACAGATGCACCAAGTGAGGGTTGTGGTAAAGCACTAACACAAAAGGTACCAAGTGAGGGTTTAAGTATAGCACTAACACAAAGTTACCACGTGAGGGTTGTGGTAAAGCGCTAACACAAAGGTACCAAGTGAGGGTTGTGGTATAGCACTAACACAGAGGTACCAAGTGAGGGTTGTGGTATAGCACTAACACAAAGGTATCAAGTGAGGGTTGTGGTATAGCACTAACACAAAGGTACCAGGTGAGGGTTGTGGTATAGCACTAACACAGATGCACCAAGTGAGGGTTGTGGTAAAGCACTAACACAAAAGGTACCAAGTGAGGGTTTAAGTATAGCACTAACACAAAGTTACCACGTGAGGGTTGTGGTAAAGCGCTAACACAAAGGTACCAAGTGAGGGTTGTGGTATAGCACTAACACAGAGGTACCAAGTGAGGGTTGTGGTATAGCACTAACACAAAGGTATCAAGTGAGGGTTGTGGTATAGCACTAACACAAAGGTACCAGGTGAGGGTTGTGGTATAGCACTAACACAGATGCACCAAGTGAGGGTTGTGGTAAAGCACTAACACAAAAGGTACCAAGTGAGGGTTTAAGTATAGCACTAACACAAAGTTACCACGTGAGGGTTGTGGTAAAGCGCTAACACAAAGGTACCAAGTGAGGGTTGTGGTATAGCACTAACACAGAGGTACCAAGTGAGGGTTGTGGTATAGCACTAACACAAAGGTATCAAGTGAGGGTTGTGGTATAGCACTAACACAAAGGTACCAGGTGAGGGTTGTGGTATAGCACTAACACAGATGCACCAAGTGAGGGTTGTGGTAAAGCACTAACACAAAAGGTACCAAGTGAGGGTTTAAGTATAGCACTAACACAAAGTTACCACGTGAGGGTTGTGGTAAAGCGCTAACACAAAGGTACCAAGTGAGGGTTGTGGTATAGCACTAACACAGAGGTACCAAGTGAGGGTTGTGGTATAGCACTAACACAAAGGTATCAAGTGAGGG